GCTGCTGCTTGTAGCTGCTGCTGCGTCGTGCTGTGTGCTCACTGCCTGCCTCCAGCCAGGGAGGGCTAGTTGTGGAGCTGCTCCAGCATGCCTTCAGGTTGTTTCATCTGCTTTGGGTTTGACCATCTCAGGTTATATTTCTTTGTGCCCTCTGTGGAGCTGTGAAAGCAGTTCCCGGATCAAGGCTTGGCTTTGCCTTGGGAAGGGAAGTTAGTGAGGAGGACAGCAGCAGTGCCCGGAGGGTCAGTCAGCACACATGGTGCAGGGAGATGTTGCAGCCTGCAGCAGCTCTCTGGAGAAACCCATCACGCTGCTCTTCAGTGGCCTCTGCCTGCTCTGAGCCCCCTGGCAACCCGGCCGCTGCGCCAGGCTGAAGTGCAGAGGCTTTCTTGCTGCATCACCGTGAAAGTGGATTCAGAATTTCTGATAAGCAACCTCCTCCACTGCTGCTCAGTTAGGTTCTGCTGATGGGCAGGACCGCGTCCTGGCAGGGGTCCTTCTGGCACTACCGAGAGAGAAACAATCAGTGCTGCTCGGGTGTGACCTCTAGGTCACAGTAAATCCAGCAGGAGAGCCAGGACTGCTCACCAAGAGAAGAGAAGGCTTGCTGGGATCTCAGAGATCTTCAGAAGCCTCCTGGATGTGGCCCTGCTGGAGCAGGGGTGGGAGAGGCGGACCCAGGGGGCCCTTCCCACCGTGCTGTGACTCCCCGTTCCGGCTGAGAGCAGCCTGCCAGCAGGGGATGCTTAGGAGGAGCTGAGAGTTCAGCAATCAAAACCGAAAACTTGGCGGAACGATCCTTTTCTAGGATTATCTGCTTGTGTCTCCATGCCAACGCTTCTACAAGTTGCTGAGTTACTTTTTTTTGGGGGGGAAACAAGGTTCTCATTACTGAAACAGTGATGTTGAGTGATCCCTCCAATGAGCAGAGTCAGCTACTCTGGTCTTTTTGCAAGGCTGGAAAGGGAGGAGGGGAAGAGGGAGGCTGCTTAGTTCAGCTGGCAAGTAGTTGCTAGGAAAGGGATTGCACGCCGAGGAAGATTTCCATTCTACATTTATGAGCAGACTTAGGTGCTCCAGAACTAGGGGGGGGAAAAAAAGGTGTGTGTATACGTAGCATAAAAATGTATTTCTGCAAAAACAGAAATGTGCTTATCTGCTGAGGGAAACCACGAAAGGCAAATGCTACATCATCGCCTCTGCTGGCAAGGTGAGCCCAGGTGTGAGGCACAGCATCGTCAGGCCCTCATCTTCCTGGGGAGCCAACTGACAGGATAAGGTTTCCAAGCAGAAGCCAGATGTCAAAAATATTCAGATACGGAGAATTTATAGTGTCTATTAAGGTAAATATGGTGCTGTGCTGAGCAGTAACTGTTTGATATATCCATGTTTTGATTTAAAGCTGTACATATGTTGCAGACAGGTATGTATGCGTGGAGAAGTGAGCAGTCTGTCCCTGTTGAGCTTGGTCCTTTTCCCATGTAAAACGATGGAAATTTTTATCGCTGTGTTTCACAGGTGCCAATCCCAAGTCCTTCACTGTGAGCACACAAGTTGTGATCATAAGCTGGCAGGTTAGTCAGTACAGATTTGTTTTCTCTCAGGATCCAAGCTTGAGCAGCACGGTCACGAAGGGACACATCCTTTAACCCTTAGGGATGGACAGGGGAAAAAAAAGGAAGGAAAAGTCCTAAAGGATGATCTTTTCACGGTGTTTCACTGGTACATCTTGAGGCCTTAACCTGATGGCTCAGCACTAGCGGGCTGGTTCCTCGCACCGTGGTCTCTGTGTCAGCAGGATATTTCATGTGACAGTGCTTTTTGTGAGCTGAGCTGCTGACTTGTGGGACTACCGAACAGATGGTGCCTACGTGAGAACACATGTAAGTGGCTGACACCGTAAGTCTTGTTTTCCCCAGTTGTCATGCTGCTCGGAACGTGATGGTCAAGATCAGGGTCAGCATGAAGGTTTCTTAGGACAGAAAAGAGGGGAAAACACCACCCCGAAACCAAACTCACACACCTTCAGTTCTGATACCCTGAGCTATAGGGGTCCTGTCAAATCTCCCTGTTTGTGAGGCCCGCCAAATTTTAGAGGAGGCTAAAATAACACTGCAGAATAAATTTCCTGCACAGAGTTGAGCATTACGGCAGTATTGCAAAATTAAAGCCTTGAAATAATAGTGATTCTGTATAAAAACAACACTTGGAGGAGAAAAATGGGGACAAAGATCCCCAAGATATCTATAAATAAAAGAATTTGCTATTTTTGACATTTTCCCACCAAGGACAAAGGAGATGACAGTATAGTGTCTCCTCATGATCATTTGAAAGTGCACTGTACTGCTGGACTCATCTTTGGCAATCTTATCTTACTCAGGTGACTGAAACGTGTCAACTTCCAGGAGACAGGAACAGAAGCTGATTTTAACCAGCCTCCTCGAACTTGTGAGGTGGATCTCCGAATAGATTGGCCTTCTGATGGTTGTTCTGATATCAGTACCTCTCTAGCTCGTGGAAATTTAAATATTAAGGCATCCTGTCTGAATCATAGCAACCCTTCAGTGTCCAATGAGAAAGCCAGTCTGCCTTGTTCACGTGGTGCATTTTACTCCATCTGCAGAAATCAGCTTCATACGTGCTTTAAAAAAAAGTAAAAACCCAGCCCTCTTTGGAAATGACACAATTTGGGAACTGGCTAAGCGCATAGGGTTGTTTTTTTTGCAGAGTCACATTAGGTTTCTCAGCAAAGAAAACCTATTGCTGGTTGCAGGGAAGTGCCTCAAGGAGGAAAAGCAAGATCCTACAAGTTCGGGACGACGGGAAACTTGGTTGAGACCAGCACACGTGAAGCTGTTTCAATTAACCAAGTTCCCCCGGGAAGTTTTTCTGCATATGGTGCCTGGTATAATATCCATCAGGGTGGACAGCAAGACAGCATTTTAAAGTGCAAAGGATAGTGGTAAGCCTCGAGAAAAGCATTTATTTTGTGATTCATAACTGTGACAGGGATGCTCAAGAGAGAGCTGCTGCCGGGATGGAAGGACATAGGAATGCAGTTTGGGTAACCAGTGCAGATGCCCAGGGAGCAGCCAAGCCCTTAAAAGCCACAGGGAATGAAACGCTGTCCTATTAACCCTTGAGCCCAGGGGAACTGTGTTTCTGAGGTCCTGTTTTTATTGCCAAAGGGGTAGATTAGGATACATATTCAGCAAAATGCAGAGATATGGTCATATGTTGCCCTGCTGATAAAACTGTAATTGAATAATGTCTTCTTAGGCTTTTTTTGTGTGTGTGTGTTGTTAGAGAAGGAACAATACACACATGCTGGGTGTGAGCCTCTCCAGACAGCTTGTGACTATGTCCCAACATGTCCCCACTACTGTGGGACGTGTAGGACAGGACTCTTGCAATGTCAGTATCATCAGCTGAGCAGTGAGCAAATAAATCCTTTTCAATATCACAGTGGTAGGTACCTCAGGGAAGAAACAAATGGATTGAAATTGAAAGCAACTGGAAAATACAGTAACCTTCAAAAATAAATCAAAAATCTTAACTTCTGTCATTTTCGTCTTCTCTTGAAAAATGCTGACTTTTTAGTGATGCATCAAATTTATCTATATTCAAAAATAGAACTCTTAGGATGAAAAATCAAAACAACTTTAGTTCCTTTAAGTTTATGGATAAATATATTCCACCAAGATCTGGAAGTATCTTCTGAAGGGATTTGATGGAATATAGCTGTCCTAACTCAGCGTTCACCTGATATTGTATGTCCTAAACCAAAAGGGAATTGCCAAGTAGATTTCTGAATGTGCTAAGCGTTCCCAAGGGGGGCAAAGTACAGTTACTTACCTTCTTGGAAATGCTGGCCCTAAACATCTAGGATTTTTCAGATACTTTAATGTTCTCATGAAAAAGTTAAGCATCTCCATCTCCTTTGCCATCTCTGTGTCCCACTGCAAGTGCCTATTCCTACAGATGTAGCTGCCGTGTCATGCCTGCACAGTGGGATCTGGGGCTTGAGGAGGGCTGCGCCTGCAATTATTATGTCGTTATATTAATTAGAAGGCCAGGAAGAGGAAATTGCAACGTTGCTCCTCTTCTCGGAGGAAATTAGTGTATTGGAAGTTTAATTTAAAAATAACAAGCACCTTAAATGTCTTGTGCTGTGGAACAGAAAGTTAGCGTTGGGGTTTTCCTAGAAAACTTGAAGGGCAGATAGACTGCTGTGTTCTTGAGAGCACTAGCCTATGCTGGGAGACATGTGGAAAATCGTCCTCATTGCAAGTCTCTGAAGCTGAAAGCAGTGAATTGTGTCCTCTGGTAAAGGCTGTGCTGCTCCTGCTGTCGCCGGGACCTCCTGTGCCATTGGCATGGCCGATTCTGTGGTGCAGGGAGGGTTTGTGGTCGGGTGCCACAGGAGTGCCAGCACGCGCTTTTTCCTCTTTTCAGCTTTACTCCACAGTTCGGTGATCACAATACAAACCTCATGAACTGTTCATGAGTATACTCTGGTATTCTTAATATTGTATTTTTTTATTTATCAAGGATGAATTAACAGATCAGTTCAGAGGGTTAACAAAGTCCGGCTTATTGATTTCCCAGTGTAATAGCAAATAGGTTTACTGACATAGTTAACTGGACAGTTAATTAATGGCTACATGCTTGGAGCCAAATTCTCTGCTATGATAATGGTGAAACAAGTGGAGATTTGCCAGCACATAACTTGGCCTGTTCTCTGTTTGGCTGTCTTGAGACGCACTTGTACTTCCTGAGCCCTGGTGTTTTGGAATATCTGTCTGCAGGTAAATCACGTGAAGGTGGACGCTCTCAGTTCTAGGAGACAGCAGGTGGCTGGGGGAGCTGGGCAGTGATGACTCTGGTGCTGGGATAGTTGTCACATTCTCAGCAGGCATATCCGTGCTCAATATCCCCTCCTTAATCATGGGAAATGTGCTCTGTTTTGGTTTTTGTTGTGTTCTGTTTTGTTTTTTAAGGTGGCGGTCTTGTGCATCAATTAATAAATCAAGACATAAGTTCATTCGTAATGTTGCTGGGCAGAGCTGGACACAGGGAACACAAAAAGAGCCAAGGTGCTGGCGTCAAGCAGGAGGTGAGCCTCAGTTTAGTCTCATTCCTGCTTAACACATTAGGAGTGGGCTTTCGAGATGGTTGTGGGCAGCATTTGAGGGATGAGCAAGCACAGGGCTCACCTGCTGCGGGTGCAGGAGGGCCACGGTGGCATCCCCTGAACCTGGCCATCATTGCTTCTGTTTCGGGCAGTCCTTAGAAGGAGGGGGTGGTTGGGGTTGTTGTGCTTTTTTAGAGACATAAATCATAACCGGCAGCCGGGCCGAACAGTTTTGGGCTGGTTCACCAACTGCAAAACCTTCTGTTCCTGTCAGCGTGTTGATGCTCCTCGTCAGTAAGGGCAAGGCTCTAGCAGGAGTAATTGTCGCTCTGGGGGTTGCAAAAAGCTTCGGAAGGGGGGGTGGTTTGTATTGTGTGAGCTGATGGAGGCAACTGAAGTCACGTAGAAACAGCGAAGGTTGTGAGTGATGCCACCAGGAAGGCCCAGATTTCTAGCCCCGTGGATCTTGGCCTTGGAAAAGCACGGGAGGAGGTGACATTTTGCAGCTCAACAGCAGTGATTTGGTAGCTCTCCAGGATGCTCGGAGCCATCTCAGACTGCAGCATATTCGTATTTTGCTGCGAGTTCAACCATGCTGTATTGGCTTTGGAGTGTCAAGCCTGTCTGTCAAGTCAGAGCTTTCTAAGACTTGCACAGAGCATCTCGGGACTATTTTTCACCTAGGTCTCAGCTGCTGCGAGCACAGGAAATTCCTTTTAAAAGCATATCATTTGGATAACCAGAAATCTCTCTTCGGAAGATGCCTCTTTTGCCTCGTCGGGGAGACATGAATAATTCAGCACATCCCTATGCAAATGTGTATTACTCTACGAAAAAATATGCAGGCACCTTATTTCCTTCTCCATTTGTGTAGTGTCAGTTTCCCAGTGCTGAATCTTTGTCAGCAGCGTGCTAAAGTGTCTTCTGAGCCGATCGCATGCGCGTCTTCTCTTCTGGCATTGTGGGGGCTTAAATTGCTGTTTCAACTGTGAATTTTAAAATGCTATTTTAGCGTTACCACTGTACGGTAAAAGCAGCAAATTGCCACGGGGGAAGTATTTGAGGCGACACATGCAGATGCAGATCCCCACAATATTTTTCCTTTTGGCCTTGGAGGTGTTTTATTTTGCATTTCTCCACTTGTGCATTTTTTTTTCCTGTGGGGTTACGTGAGGCACGTCGAGGGGCTGTCAGTAAAAACGGGGAGTGTGCACAGCAGTTGTTGCTATAGCGATGCAGTGCAGCTCTCAGCCTGCTGCACGGAGCCTGAGCCACCCGCAGCTCCTTGCATCCCGTGTGAGCCGAGCGAGATGGAGAGCAGCAGCCCTGCTGCGTGCAGGTGCAAGGCACGTTCTGGCTTGCTCTGATACCCTCATGGCTAATGCAGGGCTCTCACTGAGGTCTTTGGAAATGCTCTCTGGATGAGGAGAGGGTAGAAAGGGGATGGAGGACATCTGTGGGGGAAGCTGGTGCTGGTTGCAGAAAACAGAAGGCAAGAAATAAGTACCAAAATGAAGGAAAAGCAGGAACAAAGGAACTAAGTAGCCTTTCAAAGCCCTCCACGCCACTAGAAATGGCACGGCCACAGCATGCTGCTTTTCTCCTGACTCTGCAATTCAGTGCTTAAGTTAATCCTTGAGGTCTGGGCAGTGCAAAGGTGGAATTGAACACTGCCTCTTAGGAAGAGATTTTTGTCTCAACAGATCTCATGTACATTCAGGAATCCTAAAATATCTTCTAAGATGGCTTGTCTGTACCCAACTTACTTAACTGAATTCTGTTTTTATTATGCGCTATTTTCTTTTCTCTTTCCTCTATGGCTGTTAAATTAAGGGTTGAGTATGAGGCTACTGTGATAAACCATAAGCTTTTAAAACCTTCTTTGGGACAGACAAACGTCCGTGCTCTGTAGATGGGGAAAGAAAAGCACTGAGAGGCATTTTCCTGCAGAATCGCTCCATAAAGCAGGCCTATAAAAAGGTATCTTTACCTTCACGATCCCCTTCCTTGAGTTCTTTTTATGACTGAAGAAAGTAGGACGGGTTTATTTCGTATCAGTCAGCATGTGAGAAAGGACAGTTAGGTAAGTGCATGATGTCTCATGTTATATTTGAATGTTCATTTCTTGTATGTGCTAAATATACAGATGAGCCAAGATTCCAGGACCCAATAACACCTTCCCTGCAGGGTTTTTATGCACTTTTTTTCTGAAGTTTCCGACCTGAAGAGCAATGTGAGTCTAGTTCCATGGATGATGAAAGCAAGCAGACATTTTTAGAGGTGCTTCATTATTTATTCTCGCTCCGCTGATGTCCATGAGCTGAAGGTGAGATCACACCGTGTTGTAGAGGAGGTGGTGAAAGATGCTCCCTGGACTGGAGAGGTACCAATATAAACAGCTAGAACAGTCAAGAGCAGGCAGAAAAATGTAGAAACTGCGGAGTCAGTGAGTTGCCCAGGATCTGAACAGCTTTGCCGTGGCTGGCAGTACAGGCAGACCTCAGAGGTTTAGCCTCCTGGTGTCTGCTTCCTCCTGCGATGGTGTCTGCTCTTTGCTGGGAGGGAAAGTCTCCCTCAGAGCTCAGGAAAGGAGGATTATGCTTTGGCTTTCTGAGGGGTAATTCTCCATCTGTTATAAGAAGGTTTAGAGTCACAGGACTAAGAGGAATGAAGCTTTAGAAATGGAAACCGATAGCTGAAAATGAAGGAATTAGTTATGAGTCAGGTTTTTGCTCTGCGAAGTACAGGCAACCCTTTTCTCATGGCTTTTCTCGTTTCAAGGAGAAGCTACTGGTCCCCTTGCCATTCCCATTAAGGCTTACCTTCACTGCTTAAATCCCATTAGGACCCTTGCAGATTTCTGACTGGAGAAGCAGCTTTGAACCCATCCCTGTAGTCAGGCGGAGGCAGAGCTGGTTGCACGAAGACGACATGGTCAGCCAAGTCATTTCCACAGCCCCTGGGGCCTGGATCTTGCCACTGCATGTTGCCATGGGCCTGGACTTGGGCATGTTACTTTGTGGATGAAGGGCTGTGGTCAGGAATCAGGTTAGTCAACTGAAATCCTCAAAAATAGAAGTATGCTTGCAAATGAATACCAAGTCATCATCCTTTAGTTGTTCTCTAGGGGGCCAAAGAATGTATCGATGGCAGAAGCATCCAAAAAGATCACTTGCAGAAAGCAAGAAATATTTTTACTTGCAAAAGCATCAGGAGCTTTATAAACATCACTCCCATCCCCCCCAAAAGCCAATAGTGAAATCAAGTTGTGTGGGAACTATGGACTAATTAATTAGAAGGATCTCCTATGTAATTTCCAAAAAGCTTAGCCTTTCATGTTGGAAAGGTAATCAGCAGCCTTTCAGCAAGACACGTCGGCTACCTTAGAAGGCGCTGAAAGTCAGAGCTGCTGAAATTAATGGCACCATATTTCAACACAGCGATGTAGAGGCAGTTCTAAATAACCAAGTGCTACTACTTAGATGTAAAAGTCATTCCTGTTTCCTAAGAAGTTACTGCAGTGTAATGCTTTGCCTCCATATTTATAGGTATGCTTATGCAGAAATCAGGAACAAGCTTCAATCTGCCAGGCAGATGAATCAACTTTTGAAGTCCACTTTAAATTTAATCATACACAAATTAACTGCCTTCGAATCAAGCCTTTGTTGCTTTCCTTTTCCTTTAGTGTTTTATTTGAACGAGCTAGAGACCAGAGATGCAGTAAAACTATAAAGATAGGGCCTGGTGTTTCCTGAAGTGGCACTTCATGCAGTACTGGTCATCATACTAGAAGGTTTTAATGGACAACAGCATTTTGAGTTGTTTATGTAGTGTATGTGACATTTTGGAGGAGTAGGATACATCTGAATTCTCAAAATTACATAAACGTTTTGGACGTCCTTGAAATGTCAGTGGGTGTTTTTCTTTTTTTTGCATTAAAAGTATCTGATTTTCAGGAAGCTCAGTAGGGTAAACTTCGTCTACTTTAACTTAAACTTAGTCTGACCTAGTCCAATACACAGGCAACGAAGAGGTAGAGATGGAGAACAAGGCTTTTTTTGACTTGAAGTTTGCCTTGGATGAGGTGAACCACACTGTACAAGTGCCTCTTGAGCATGAGACGAGGTAGGTGCCTAGGTAAAGGGTTGGATACATGCACACGTATGGACATATGTAAGCAGATGCATCACTAAGGCTTCTGGAGTGAGGCGAGCTGGATCCCACTCCCAGGAACCGAGGCGCTCCAAATCAACCGTGATCATCTACAGAGACGTGTGCGGAAAAACGAATTGTTGCATTGTGCATTGCTGCCAACACGAGGTCCAAAAGCATGAACCCTGCTGGGCAGAGCTCCGCAGAAGAGAGCCAGGCCTGAGGCAGGCGTTGTTGGCTGCCAGGACAGCGTGGGCACAACCTGCTGCGGTCTCTGTTTCAAAGTTCTGTCACTTCGCTGTTGAAAATGTGGTTTTGCATTTCAGATTTAACTCTCTGTGGCAGCAAGCGAGATGCTGGCTTCTACCTGCGGGTACCTTTGTAGATATTAGATACGTGTATCCTCTGTTTGCCTGTGCAAAGTATTTATATATACATATATGCATGCATCCTGTGGGATACATGTCTGCAAGCGTATATATGGGCCTGCTGGTTGTGCTGTAATTCTTCCTACACCCTTTTTCTGGATGGTAAATTATTAGATTCAGTGGTTGGCTACAATACCTTGGCCTGGTTGGTTATCCTTTTTAATAAAGATCGTGGTTCTTTGTTTTAAATAAATTTTGGAAGTTATATGGAGAGCTTTAAAATGCTGACACAAAAAAAAAAAAAAAAAAAAAAGGAGGTGGGTTCTTACTTGGGATTTAGGATAGCATTTTTAAGTGTTTAAATGATTTGGGAATGAGTCACTTCTGTTAAAGGCTTCTGCAAAGTTGATCTGACACATGAAAATGTAAGCTCTTGCTTCTCCTATCCCTGAGTAGATTTAA